CAGATTTATGGTGTCATTGTCGTCTAGAATTTCCAGCTGTACATGTGGAAGTGTTTTTTGTTGTCATTTAATTACCCTGGGAAAGAGGCTCGACCATGCCCAGACTGTTAACCAAAGGGACTTTACACAGACTCAAAGAAAAAAAAAAGAGAGAGAGGGTAGATAATAACATATTATAATAATAATGATAGTTAATGATAATAGTTATAATAGTAATAATAATGACAAATAAAAAAGAGAGGTAGGATAATAACAACGATTATAATAATAGTGATAGTTAATGATAATAGTTATAATGACAATAGTAATAATAATAAGGATAATAGTTATTATGATAACAATAATGTGATAATCAGGCGATAAATAAAAACTAGGGAGGTCGGGTTTAATTAATTCAATTATGTGCTAAAGAGGAAATAAAAACACGATAGGTATATAAGGACCATTTGAAGTCTGTTGGCGCTGCGTGTTTTAATTTAATTTATTTATATTCTATCTATATTCATCTATATTTATATTTATTGTTTTATTTATATTTATCTTAGATCTTGAATGAGATCGTTTTATTACCTCCTTTATAGTGGATTTGTAAACCTAAATCAAAATATAATTGTCGACGAGAGATATTCTCTTCTCTCTCTCTCTCTCTCTCTCTCTCTCTCTCTCTCTCTCTCTCTCTCTCTCTCTCTCTCTCTCTCTCTCTCTCTCTCTCTCTCTCTCTCCTCTCTCTCTCTCTCTCTCTCTCTCTCTCTCTCTCTCTCTCTCTTCTCTCTCTCTCTCTCTCTCTCTCTCTCTCTCTCTCAGATCCCTTGGCAGTTTCCAGGACCCGACGGTCTTACATATCCTGCGAGACTCCACGTCCTTGGTCCTTAAAGGTGTGATAGAAGAAACAGGATCTGGTGGAGTTCACTCGAGAGGAAAAAAAAAATCATTCGCCTGTGATTTCTTCCAGTGTTCTCGTGGCTGTGTGTGATGTGTTGCTTGGGCGTGCGTGCGTGTCTCTCCATTCATCTGCATGGGCATCGGGGGTGGGGGGGGTGGGGGGGTGTCTGTGTTTATATTTGTGTGCTTGTTCTTTCACATATTCTTTCGTGGATGTGTGTAAACGGTCGAGTGATTGTGTCTGAATGCTTGCTTTGTGTAAGATCGTGTTCGGGTTCAAGATGTGTTCGCGTTTCTTCAACATCAACCATACGAACACAAGCCCTTTCTCCACCGTGTCTTAGTCCCCTGAGATAGTTTCCCCGGGTCCTGTCATAGCTGCTCTGCAAGGAAACAACAAGTGCAGCGCTTGCATGTCTCAGAGGTCATCAACACGCCCCAGCTGCCCCTTTCTTGGCACAGTGCCAGCTTGTCATTGCCTTACGAGGGCGCATTCCCGGAGACAATCTCTTGCGAGGACAGCGTACTTGCGTGAATGCACGTACTGTGCATTTTGCATTTTCGAGGATAAATGCACTAGAGCGAAGCAACTCGATTTTTTTTTCTCCGTCAGAACTAGAAGGACAGATGGATCTTTAAAGTTTATGTTTAAGTTTATCATTGTTAGCTATATATAAGAAGATAGGTATCAATACGTAATGAAGGGAGAGTAGAGAGACAGGGAGTAAAAGAGAGAAGAGAGAAGAGAGAGATGAAAGAGAGAGAGAGAGAGAGAGAGAGAGAGAGAGAGAGGAGAGAGAGAGAGAGAGGAGAGAGAGAGAGGAGAGAGAGAGAGAGAGAGAGAGAGGGAGAGAGGGGGCGGAGGGAGGAGGGAGGGAGAGAGAAAGAAAGAAAGAGAGAGATAAGAGATAGAGCAAGAGAAGGCAAGAGAGATAAGCAGCGCCTATACATAGAGGCAGAACACGCAGGTGCTCCCTGCATGCTCTTAGTCACTCGCCTTCAATCACCAAAAACCACCCCACCAAGGCGACAGCCCCCCATCCCACCTCCCTCTCTCGCCCTCCCCTTTACGCGTTCTATAAGAGGCACAATGACAGAGCCTTCAGATTCAAGCACACTCCCCCGGGCTTAAGGTAAATGTTTGGCACGGTCGAGGTCCGGACGGGAGCCAGAGCCACAGGTAGCTCGCAGACACCACAAGGTAAACATATACCTTCTGGAGGCGTAGTAAATGTTGTAGTGTGGAAGGCCAATGGCCTTCATAACAATGTTCCTAGACTTGTGACGGTGTTGCCGGTGACATACTGCGCACACCTGCAAACGTGGGTGGGCGAGCAGGTGTGCGTTGCGGTGGTACTAGGACAGGTCTAAGGTTTCTTTTTATTAGAAGTATTATCATCTCTCGTCTTTGGTTTCTTTGATTCAAGTTTTTATTGATATTGGTAGGTTTTGATATAGGTTTGGTTAAACAAGTTTATTTGGGATGTTACGCATTTATCATTGCCTCTGCCTGTCTATCTGTTTGTCTGTCTGGCTTTGTTTCGCGCGCGCGTTTTTGCATGTGTATTTGGCGCGCGAGCGTGTGTGTGTGTGTGGTGTTTGTGCATCTAATTCCTTATTTCTGTGCGTCTTTAATTCGATCTCTCGGACATTCCCTGTTTTTTTTTTTTTTTTTTTTTTTTTTTTTTTTTTTTTTTTTTTATAATAATCACCTCCTCTCCTCCCCCTACCCTATCCGGGTGTATCAAAAAAAAAACTTTTTCTCTGAAGCCACTAAAAATAGTGGCATGTTTTAATGTGTGCCCTTGGGAACTGCTTATTCTAGTTTCTTTTTTCTCCTCCTTTATGAACACTTTGAAGTGTATTAGCATGCACAAAACTTTTAACTGTTTTTGTTATCACGATAACACCCAACTGTCTTAATATGTCATCACACTGTCTCATAAATTTGATTTACTGTGGTTTGGTACAATCATCATAATCTGTATCTTTTTTATCGCTTACTTGTTCATTTACTCTTGTTTATCTATTTCTTGTACTAATTTTATGTCTTTATTTTGCTGTTATTTGATTTTTTTCTTTCTCTGGGGATAAAAATTTAGTATATGGTTGTCATCCTTTTTTATTAGCAGAATAAGTGTCATTATTACAAAGTACTTAGAGAAATATAGAAAAGAAATCTTTCTATGTACAGACTAGTATTATTGTCTAATAAATTAAGAATATCTTACAAATCATTTGGTATTTTTGTACAATATTTACATATTCCTCCATTCACTGATGAAACAAAATGGAACTAATGGCATTCAAACAGAAGATGAGAGTGAAATAAGAAAATAAAAATAAATTTCCATAGGAAAGATGGATTCTATTCTCAACACGAGACTCACAAAAGGGGAAGTTAATATTAATTTTCTACATGAACACACTCTTTTTATGAACGAGAGAATGAACACGGGCACTGGATAATTCCCCTTTTATTACGTAAGAAAGAGGGGAGAGAGAAAAGGTAAACACGAGTTCTTTCTGTGAGTCTTCAACGTTCGCAAGTTCCGCCCACTCGTGGTCTTTGGGTCTGTCAGCTTCTGCCGCACACCGACCGCGCAACGCACGGGCTGGAGTGTCACATTCACTGGGTTAAAGGTTCACTACGGTATTAATTTGTTATTTGTTCCCTGCTCGTTGTAATATCGGGGTGTACTTATTCCGGTCGGTGGCGCGTGTACTTCTCTCCTGCATCTCCTGGAGCCTCGGCCCTTCGTCCTCGGGCACGAGGACCACCGTGAAGATGAGCGCCGACGACTGGAGATGCCAGCGTAACAGCCAGAAGGCCCCGTGAGCCCCGAGCAGCAGGTGGAAGTCCACGAAGGTCTTGACGCTCGCGAAGGAGCAGGCGTAGCTGGACGGCCAGTTTGGCGAATGGCGCCTAAGGCCGCGGTGCTTGAGCGCAAAGAGCTCGCCGATGTAGATCCAGGAGATCGGGGAGATGCCCAGGGCGAAGGCGACCTGGAAGATGAGGGCGCAGTCAGGGGATCCCAGTCGAGGCCGCCGGCGTTGACCCCGTTGCCTCCCTGTGAACGTAGGAGAGACGTTGCCGAAGCCCGAGCCCAGGCCGTCGACCGATCAGGCGTCGACACGATGATCCAACGGAGTCTGCGCTCACCGTGTCGCGGACGACGACACCATTCCTGCCAGGATCTGGAGGAGCCCCACGACCACGGCGGCGCTGTAGGGGTTTAGGATCCCGACGCCTCCCGCAAGGATGGCACGGCGTAGAAGTTGAAGGCGTTGGCGCCGCTGAACTTTCTGGCAAAGACCATGAAGCAGGTGATGAGGCGGCTTGAGCTTGATGAGGTCGCGGCGCCACTTCGCGTTAGCACGTGACCTTCCGACTCCTCCCTCATGGCCTCGATGTTCGCGCCCGCGCATCGTCTCGAGCTCCTGCGAGACGTGTCGAGTCCTCTCCGCGGAGCCAGGAGAAGCGACGTGCCGGCGTCCTCTCGTCGCGCCCCCGGACGGAAGTACAGGTACTGGCTAGCTTCGGGTCTCAGGGGCATTGAGCATGAGAAGAAAAAAGCAGCGCGGGCGCGATGGAGGCCACCATGGCGAGCTGCCGCCAGTCGAGGTACACGCCCAGCAGGAAGGAGAGCAGCATGCCCACGGTTGGCCGTCAGCTTGGCGACGAGCACAGGCAGCCCGGATCTCAGCGTGGAGTGCGCGATCTCCGCCCGTCGATGTAGCAACGATCCTCGTGACCTCCGTGACAGCGACCACAGGCGGAAGCAGATGTGCCGCACAGCATGAACACGTAAGGCAGCGTACACATGTACACAGCTCTGAGAGGCGCCGTCGGAACCACGAGACTAGAAGGGCAGACGACACCCAGGTCTGGCAGCACGCTCTTCCGCCCCAGCCGCATGCAGGCCTCCGGGATACCGCCGAAGAAGCCTACGCCGAGCAGGGACAAGGACGCGATCCAGGAGCCTCCTGCTCGGCGCGTGAGTCGAGAAAGTCGTCGCGAGTGCGTGCCGTTTCGTCGAGGGCTGTCGTCTTCATGGAGCGAGGCGGGTAAGAGAGTAGCCCTTGCCCAGGCCCGTCGCCAGGCGCCCTCGAATCCACATCGTGGCTACGACCTCGGGATCAGAGTGGCTACGCCAAGTGCAGCACATTAATCCCGTGCAATCGCACTGATAAGTCGTCGTGGTAGCTTATCGAGGAATAAATTCTCAACACAGCTACCGGCTCTATTAAACAAATCACTTCTCTAATTCGATCAAAAGTAAAAGACCGAAATTCCGGAAGTCAAGCAAATCATGTGCCGGAACAGCTCGAATTTTCGAAATGGGAGCAGCTTTATTAAATATTGCCCAAAGTGACTGAGGTTTTTTCGATCAAGGTGACGAAAATATAAAGAAGCATATTGAATCACGGCGCCGAAACATTCAACAAAGTGCCGCAACAAGAAGTAAATTAGTCCTAAATCTTGGGGACATTTTAAAACCAACGTGTTCAACCTGTGTTAGAAAATACTACACCCATCCCCTGGTATAAACTTCAACAAAATCACCAAACTTGACAACAGGAAAATGGAAAAATAATTACCTGAGTTAACCGATGGGGCCGATTACTATATATTAGACTTAAAGTTGAACTCGCCATCTTCAAACACTGGATTCACTCTGCAAGAAAGAGAAAAAGGGATATTAAGATCAGTTTGCAACAAATTAGAGAAGGTTTAATGAGTGCAAAATAAAAGCAATAGATGATACATTAGAACTTCTGTTCCTTAAGCTGACAGCGAGCGCATTCAGCTAAGAATCATTAGACAGAGACAGACATCTTAAATACAAATAAATTAGAGCGAACCACACCCCCTTTCGTCCCCTACCTGTCGCTCTTTCTCTTTTCCCACTTCTCCTTTCTCTCTATCTCTACCTTTCTCCCTTCCTCCCTCCCCCTCTTTCTCTCTCTCTCTCTCTCCCTCTTGCTCCTTCTCTCCTTCCCTACCTCCTTCATGCCCCCCTCCCCATTTATCTCGTAAAAAAAAAAAAAAAAACATTACTACTAAAAAAAAAAAATCTTTGAAGACGATAACAAAATGAACGTTACTATGCGTCCCAACAATCCCCCCCCCCCCTCTCTCAAGGAAGGCAACGGTGTAAGCGTGATATAATTCCTTGGCACAACCTGGCCGGGGGATCAACTAAATGCTGACTTACACTTTAGCGAGACTGGCGATACACCCACGAAGGGGAAAATATTTTCGGCGTCCTTCGAAAGAGCATGGAATGGTATGTGGATTAATTGACGTGGGCTTGTTTACACTTTCTCTCTCTGTTTCTTTTTTTTTTTTTTTTAGTCTCCCTTTGTCTACATTTGTCTGTGTCTATCTCGATCTACCATAATTATCTATCAACCTATATCTATCTAAACCTATCTATACTTATTTCTATCTCTCTATACAAGTCTCTATTTGTTTTACACCAATACAAATATACTAACGTTTAATTTCTACCGTACAAGCCCCTCTACTCCCAAACAAAAGTACAAGCCCCTCTACTCCCAAACAAAAGTACAAGCCCATCTACTCCCAAACAAAAGTACAAGCCCATCTACTCCCAAACAAAAGTACAAGCCCCTCTACTCCCAAACAAAAGTACAAGCCCCTCTACTCCCAAAGAAGAGGTACCACAAACAGTACCTGATGCGAAATTTCCTGTGTTCGAAAAAAAAAGTCTCAGTTAAGTCGAACGAAACTGAACCCACAGATCCACCAAGTCTGCCATAGCTGGCGAGTAGAAAGGGTTTCCTGTGCCAGCGTGGAGGTAGATGTTCCCTCGCTTTCATATTATAAGGATTGTTTTTCTGAATTTTCATGCGTTGATGACTGTGAATTGACCAATTTTTGCCGCTAATGGTCATATTTGCAGATGATACAAACGAGTGGGTTGTACCGAATATCTTTTTTTCTTTCTTTTTTCTTCTTCTTTTTTTTTTTTTTTTTTTTTTTTGTACATGGTATCTATTCTTTGTAAATGGTTTATCAAAATAGATAAGGTGGATATTTCGCAAGGATCAATTATGTTAAAAAAAGAAAAAGGAAAAAAAAAAAGAAACAAGAGACACTAAAGATGCCTCTCGTACCCTTAATAAAATAAAATGAAAATAAAACAAATGAAAATGAAAATATAAAAAAGATCACCACTTGTATCCAAATGTATCAGTTCTAACAAAGGCAGACCTAATTGTGTATGGGTCGCCTCATCAACTCAACATGAAAAAAACCAACGTAATGTTTTTTTTTTTTTGTTTTTTTTTTCTACTACTACTACTACTAATGTGTTATTCTGTCACTGTTGTTAAGATAAACCGTAAGGCTTCACCTGTGTGGGATCTTCACGCTGTTTTAATTTTTCTTATTTATTTATTTATTTTTTATTATTTTTTCTTTTATTTATTATTTTCTTATTTATTTATTTATTTTCTTATTTATTTTTCCTATCTATCTATTTATTTATTTATCATTATTTTCGTCTCTGTTCTTCCTGGAGTGATTTTCTAGCATCGGGTTTTTGTGGCGTGAAGATATTTGATGATAATATTATATGGGTCACGATGATGATGACTGATAAAGATGATGATGATGATGATGTTAGTGGTGGCGGTGATAATGATGATGATAATCAATAGTGCTGTTAATAATGCTGTTGATAATGATGTGATAATGATGATGATAAGCAATAGTGCTGTTAATAATGCTGTTGATAATGATGTGATAATGATGATGATAAGCAATAGTGCTGTTAATAATGCTGTTGATAATGATGATGATAATAGTGATGATGGTGAAGATGATGATGAGTGTTGCTGATGACTGTGATGATAATCATGATGAGAGTGATAAGGAAGACGATGACACTAACAGAATGATAATAGCTGGTGATGGTGACGATGACGACGAAGAGAACAATAAAGAAACGAAGGAAAAATTGGAACGAGCTTACCAAAGAGCTATTTTGCCAAGATTTTATAGTCCATCCTAGGCTTGCCGACGTTGTACACACGAATAAAAAAAGTCATTAAAGCCCAGTAAAAAAAAAAATCGAAATGTTCCACAGAGCTGATTGCCTCGGGGTTAAAGCTGGACTTTCGGCTCTAGTGACACGGGAATAAGCCATGGCCATGTAATCTCTATAGTGTCTAATAGTAACCTAAAAAAAAGAGAAAAAAGGGAGACTAAATCTTGCTTAAACGCCTTTTCTGAATGTGTTACCCGACTCCTCGAATTACAGAGAAAAAAAACACATAACGCACATCTACTTGAATCAAAAATTAACCAATAACACCACTTTCAGTTGCTCACACAGTCCTCAAATCCTGAAAAAAAAAAATCCTTACTGAAATAGCCTCTCTTGACGCCCAGCCACTTAAAATCTTTCAGAAATCGGCTCACTTATCACAATCTAAGTGGAGTCGGCACGGAGGGGGAAGTTTGCACAGAATACCACACGTGTCTTTAAAACGTCGAAATGGATGTTTTAGAAAATATTGACTCAGGAGAGACGGGTTGCTCTTGCGGGCGTATCTATCAGTCAAGGAGGATAGATGAAGACATTGATCGACGTCCCGCGTAAGGAAGGAGAAAGGAGATAACTAATGAAAGCAAAATAGAACAAAAAAAAAAAAAAAAAAAGTGAAATACTGGCTTAAGCGCATTCCTCCAGGCATAGGAAGACATTTGTAGAAAAGGCATGAATGAGGATGAATATCTTCACAATACAAGAGATGCCTTTGACCGGTTTGAAATATATCTTCGTCAGAAATAAAATGTATTTCCGACGAAGACATGTTCGAAACCGGTTAAACACATCTCTTATACTGTGAAGACATTCATTCTCATTCATACCTTTATAATTGTCATGAATACGGTTCATAGGAAAACATTGAGATCACCCTTATGTAACCCATTGATAACGACCAAAATCTGCGGTCGTAGAGTTCAATCTCTCCAGCCCCCCCCCCCTCCCCCCTCCCCCCTAACCCACTGGCATGAAGATTCCTAACCTCGCTTAAGTATAGAAGGTACCAACACAGTGTGTGCGGCGCCCATGTTGCCATGGCAGTCGACCCGATGCCTTGCTTTTGGCCGCCGTCTCGAGGGGCGTGTGTACTTCACGCTCGGCTTGGCACGCGAGTAGCCTATTCATTTTTCTTTCGTTGCGTGAGATTCGTGTGCTCGCGATTCATTGACAAGATAAGAAAATGTGATAATAAAAAAAATAATTCCAATTAGCTGACATTTCGAAGAATTTGTACACGAGCCTCACCACCGAGAGAGAACTGCGCGATGGCCGAAGGACGCAGCAACAATAGCCACTCGACATGTCGGAAAAATAAAGACAAAAACCCGACCCAAATCCCAAAAAGAGAAACATTTAAGGCAGAGCTACCACAACAACCGCACCAGATCTACCTTGCCTGACTCCGGGCCAGCAGCCAGCTTGCTCCCCGCCCAACGCCGTCTCAACAAGACTCCGTCAAAATATATTGCAGCGAGCACCTCCTTCTGGCTCAGCGCGGGGATAATTATACGCCAGGCTGTGAAAGCAGGTGGAAAGAGCGCATTCCCCGAGCGATTTCTCCGGGCAAACGAGCGCTCGCCTTCGAGTCATTCACAGAAGAGTGAAAAAGCCACGCAGAGCAAAGGCCAAAGCGGAACGCACACGTCCCTCCGGAGCTTCTCACCACGGGCGCGGGTGTGACACGGCGGGCGTGCTTGGGATCGCGTTCAGCCCGACGCCCGGGGCTCGTGCCAGCTGCAGTCACGCCACTCGCGCCGCCTGCCAGACGGTCCCATACAACCCGTTGGCTGCCCACCTGTCGGATTCCGCTCGCTTTCTTTCGACCATCACTCGGCCCTTAATCTCTCGCCCTTCAGCCTTACAACTGGTTCGTCTCTGTGTGTGTGTGTGGTGTGTGTGTGTGTGTGTGTGTGTGTGTGTGTGTGTGTGTGTGTGTGTGTTGTGTGTGTGTGTGTGTGTGTGTGTGTGTGTGTGTGTGTGTGTGTGTGTGTATACACATGTTTAACCATTGCATGCACTGTCACGCAAAATATACAAACATGAGACAAGCGCCTACAAACAAAACACTGAGCCCTCAACTTGACTTCCCAACGCAACAACCCGAGCAAAAATGAAAGAGAAGAAGAGAGAGAAGAAAAATAAAAAGAAGACGAAAAGAGGGGGCAAAAGAATAAGAGGATGAGAAAAAAGAAGAGGAGGAGGAGGAGGAGGAAAGAAAGGGGTAAAAACAGCAGTCGCCTTAAGTCAGACCAAACTTCCCATGAGCCCGCAACATTCACAACATTCAGAAGATTCTCGTCGTTTCGCATACAGGTTAGCACCTGGCACTACACACCAGATCATGACAGCAGTGCCTCGAGACGCCGATCCGCAGACCCGGAGACAGTGCCAACGCATTGCACTGGTTATGGTTTTTGTGGGAGTCTATAGGGAGACGCAGTTTTCAGTGTTGCAGATCATCAAGAGGGCGAGTGCCAGAGGGCCGTATGCCTTGTGTTTCCCTTGGCTCCGCGGTGCGCTCGGGATGGACTGAACCATATGCACTTCAAAGCATTCAGGAGTGGCATATATTACCTGTAGATCTAAACACATCTAAA